GAGAGGCTTAGAGATCTAATAGTGAACTAAATGAAGACCCTTTTCTCATAGGAATTCAGTGTGGTACAAGTAGATAGATATTAGCAACTCAGTACACCAAAGTCTTTTTAAGTTCAATTTAATAATTTGTTTGCTTTGATATTTGTGTCTTATTGGTATATATAATAAAATTGTTTTCAGTTCTAGAAATATTATTACCATTATCTGCCAAATGCTATAGTAGAAACTGGAGTGTGGCCTTTTTTTAAAAAAATATATGCATGAAACTCATTGATGATAACAGAAAGCAAAATGGCTTTAAACAGAAGAGCCTTAAGGAAATCTACAGGAGGGCATTTATTTGCTGAGAATTTCAGGTGGTTCTACTTTTACTTTAAGAATTTTTGAATCACATGGAAGTACTTTAGTGAACTAGTGGAGAAAATGTCACCAGACTACACAACAAGGGGTCAATTTGACTAAGTTAGGTTTAGAAGTTTGTTCTGTTCATAGTGTAGAGTAAACTTTGGATTTGCACAGGTTGAATTTCAAAGTACCCTATGAAACAAGACAGACAGGGATTTTTGCCCAAGTGCACATAAGACTAAGTGCAACCTATTTAAACATCATGTAATTAGGCAAATTGCAGCTAAGTATACAGTGTAAATTCTTGAACTACTTTGTTAACATCTGACACATTTTATTTTTAATATTATTCTTCAGTGTTGTAATAAAATTTTCTGAAGCATTATATTAGAAATTTTAAGTAGCCACAAAATTGGAACAGAAATTTTGGTTTGTACTGAGAAGTGAATTCCTCAAATCCATTTTCTTAAGTGGTTGTCTAATGTTGACAGATTCCCATTTGCAAAGGCTAAGTCATTGTTTATGTACACTTAAAATGTTTGATGTATTTTTAATTGTTCATTTTAATTATAACACTAATATGTTTATTGTAAAGAAAAAAACAGAAAAGAAATATGTAAAGTATGAAGTAATAGTACCTAATCCTATCTCTTCCAGAGAGAACAATATGGCATACAAATTTCAAATTTTTAATTATGATATATGAAACAAGCAGTTTTGAACTTAGCTTTTTTGTCTTACATGGGGGTGGGGAATGAAGGAGGAACTTGAGATTTGAGTGAGTTTAAGTTTTACCATGAAGAATTTTGAGGGGGCTTTGAAATATTCAAGTAGAGATGACAGGAGGCATAGAGGAGAATTGGAGTTGATAAAGACTGGAGCACCAGAGGGAGTCAGTAGTCACTGAAACTGGAAATAGATACGAAGTAGGTGCATTAGGTTGAGAGAGATGGCTGAAGATAAAATACCAACATTTTAAGTGGCAAAGGGTTGGAAAAAAGACAGAGTGAAGTGTCACGGAAGCCAAAGGAAGTTAGAATTCCAAAATGGGAATAGAGGTGGTCTTTGGTCTAGGTAGAGATGAGAATATCAGGAAGAGGAGGACTGAATGTTGTCATTGCATTTGTTAGTTATTGATGACTAAGAGAAAGTTCAGAGGAGTTAGGATTAGAAGGTAGATGGTAATTTCTGGTTTGAGCAAATATCTAATTTGGCTAAAGAAAGAAAAATGGGATTAATGACTAGAGGAAACATGGAATCAAGGTAAGGGGTTTTAGTTTACTTTTGGAAAAATAACTATTATTAAGCATTTTCCATATCTACATACAGTAACTGGTCACTTTGTCATACATTATCTTACTCTGAATTTGGTAGTAAACATTTCCTTTTTACTATTCAGTAACTTACTTAGGCATAGTAGTAGTAAGCAGTACAGCAAGATATAAAACCTAAATCTGACTTCTGTGTTCTTTTTGTACATTGCCTTTAAACATATAAGAAACCTCAGCTTCTTGGACATTAGCAGCACTGAGTTCACTTGGGAATCTGTTAACATGAAAATTTCTGGTCCCTTGCTACGGATTCTGATTCTAGAAATCCAAGAATTTGCATTTTTAAATAAGCATCCTAGAAGAATCTGATGCATATTTTCTGACTGTATTCTGAAAATTATTAGTACTAAAAAGATGGAGTTTTTTTTTTTTTTTCCATTTAGGGCTGGGTTTATTTTTTTTGCTGGGGGCGCAAACTGGAGATTGAATGCAGGGCCTCACACACCCTGGGCAAGGCCTCTACCATTGAGCTACAATTACAGTATGTTTTTTTATTTGAGGTAAGGTCTTGCTAAGTTGTCCAGGCTGACCTTGAACTTGAAGTCCTCCTGCCTCAACCTGAGTTGCTGGAATTACAGGTGTGTGCAACTTCACCTGGCCTCCATTTAGTTTTAAAAGCCTGGTCTCCAAAAGTGAGACTACATTTTTGAGAACTATGATACGTTAGGACATGATTTTGCTTAGCCTTCTCCAAAATCTTCCATTGTAAAAATATATTTCTCTTTTAAAATTTTTTTCCTTCAGTGATTAATGGACTTTTCATAAGTTACTTATTTTTCTGGTCCTCAGTCAGCATATCTATAAAATGGGCATTCAGTACCTAATTCAGAGGGCTTTTGTGAAGATTTAATGCAATAATTGAGGTATAAAATAGTACAGTGTAGGTCCTGCATGTAGTAGGTGCTAAATATTAATTGATCTAAATTGCAAATTTTTATGCACTTTTTGTCCCTATTTGAATTCTGATGCTTTGATTTAAACTAGTGAAGATATATTCTTTCCCTAGTTAATCTTGTGGAATTATGTATTAACAAGGAACATGTAATTTAAAGTTTACTTTTCTTCATACTGCTAGGCACACCTTGAATTCCTAGTAGAGCTCATCATGGTGCTGTGTAGGCATTCAACATTTTGACAGTGTTTCCTTGGTACCAGGAACTATGTTGGTCACTTTACATGTACTGTTTCATTTGTGGTCACAATAACCCTATGAAATGAATACTATCCCAATTTTATGGAGAGGAAATTGAGACTTGGAAGTTATGAACTTGTCCAAAGCTACCCAGCTAGCTAAGTGATTGCATTAGGACCTGAACATGTGCTATGTTTTTTGTTGTTGTTGTTGTTTTTGTTTTGTACCAGGCACTTGACCATCAACCACATTCCCAGCCCTATTTTGTATTTTATGTAGAAACAGGTTTTACTGAGTTGCTTAGCACCTCACAGTTGCTGAGGCTGACTTTGAACTCATGACCTGACCCCCCGCCCCTGCAGCCTCCTGAGCTGCTGGGATTACACCGCACCTGGCTGTGTTATGTTTTAAAGGAGTGGTCCTCAAACATGTTTGCTTACTTAGCTCTTAAAAACATTGAAGAAAAAAAAAATAATGTATTCCTTATACATTTTAAAATTGACTTAACATTTTTTCATAAGTTAATTGTAGATGATAATGTTGTGTCATAAATATTGATATAAAAATGTAGATTTTTTTTTTTAACCAGTAGGGATTCAATTTCCACCCCTTAGCCACTTAAAAGTATTAAAGCCTGGAATGGTAATACATGCCTATAATCCCAGTGGCTTGGGAGGCTGAGGCAGGAGGATTGCAAGTTCGAGGCCAGCACAACAATTTAGTTGGGACCCTGTCTCAAAAAAAAAAAAAAAAAAGTCTGGATATAGCTCAGTAGTTACATGCCCCTCGGTTCAATCCCTGGTACCTAAATAAGTAAGTAAATAAAAGTGCTCAAACAAACTTTTCATTAATAGTTGGAATTTTAACATATCTTTTTTTCATTAATTTCATATTTCCATTTTCCTCTCTAGAATTGTTATAATTTGTATATTTTATGCTTAAGATTTATTGATCATGCTTCCATATTTCTTTATAAAAAAAGTTACAAATTGAAATTAATCATAATTAAAAGTTTCTTGTTATTATTTCTTTTTAAAATTTTTTTCTTTTGGTACTAGGGATTGAACCCAGGGGTGCTTAACCATGAGCCACATCCACCTTGCGATCCTCCTTCCTGCCTCAGCCTCCCAAGCCACTGGCATTATAGGGGTGTGCGCCATGGCACCCAGCCTGTTATTATTTCTTTTGCATCATATGAATACTTTCTAGTATAACATTTCAATTCCTTGAGTGATCTCATCATCATTTTTAAATTAGTGGTAATTCTACAGCTTACCATATTCACCTTATCAATACCTTCTTCAATAATCATTAGGCTTTAAATGCTAAGATTTTTCCTCTGGATTCAGTTGTTATTATAATTACTATAAGTGTACAGTTGGTCAAAACAATATAAATGTATTATACATTTTGATAATTAAAAACTTATTAGAAATAAATTTCCTATTTATTTTCTGATGAGACATTCTTGAAGATATAATTGATATATTTTCTGATGAGACACTCACCTGTTATGGTAATGTGTCCTTATGCTTAGTGTACACCATTGGCTGAACTATCTATAGCCTCATGCTTAGATAACCTTCAAAATGAATATGGATGGGTTGTTTCTCCCTATATTCTAATTAATTCATGTATCCTTAGTTGAATACACTTAAACCTAGAATTCAGTACACCCCAGCATAAATTTCATTCTAAATTTTTAAAATAGATATAAACTTGAGAAATACTGATATAGTAAATAAGAACTGAGAAAATTTAAAGTATAAATATAATTTAGTTTTTGGAGTTACTGGGATTGTCATGTCAAAATAAATAAAAGCATAAGATAGGAAAGACCAGAAAATATATTACTGGCCCTGCTTCTACATACAGTTGCCTCTGCAAGTGTTACTTTGCTGGTTAACTTTGAGCCTCTGGTCTCAGCTTAAAAATCAAACTTTCTCTGGAGGCCTGCTGTTAGTTAGCTCCAGGTTAGCTTCTATCATGTGCTTAAAAGAGCCAGTCTATTTCCTCTGTCATGCAACTCGTCATTCTTTAACAAAGTCTCTTGTATGTTGTATACATCTTAATGAAAACCAAATCACCTTTTATCTTGGTCTTTGCTTTCTTTTCTGTGCTTATTCACAGGTATGGGCATATTCATATCTTTGAAAAAGTTAATTTTATGTTCTTTGTGTGATTTCAAAATGAATTTGGTTTTTCTCTTTAGTGTCTCAATGAAATCCTGGAGTCAGCAGATGCACCTTTAGAAGTCACCGAAGGATTTATTCAGTCGATTTCTCTGTCAGTTCCGTGGGGCTCCTTGCTACAGGACAATTGTGCACTGGAAGTAAAAGGATTAGAAATGGTCTTCCGACCTAGACCTCGTCTAGGTAGGTTGTTATATGTTCCTGTTTTATTTGCTTCTATTTTTATCCTACAGAGATTGAGAAAGAAGCCTGATTGATTTATTGATTTTCATTGTGTTTGTAAAAGTTTCAGTTGATAAAATATTAGGATTTGGTTCTTTGTAGGATGTGTGTGATGAAAATTCTAAGAGTTGTTTCTTTCCGTTTACTCACAGGAACTTCAGTGTACATATACTTTGGTTTATGTAATTATTTGTTACTTTTTATCTAAAGTTTTAAAGATTCAAAGTATTGCCACTTAACAAGGAAGAGTACTCAAAGCTATTCTGATATAAATAAGGTGAGCAGGGAGAAGGGAATGCTCTTCTTGAGAATGTCTACTTATAAATGTAGAAAAAAAAATAGGATTGATAAATTTAGAGGAAAAGTATGCAGTGATAAAAATTTTAATCCTATAACGTATGAAACTCCAAAGTTTAAATTTTGCTTAGTAGAATTATAGTGATCTGTATTTTGAAAATTGATAGTATAATTATGGATATCCTCTTTAATAATCTGATATTTAATTTATCAGAGTATTCTCTATTTTAACTATGATGGGTATATATAATACTTCCCTATGCAAAGTCAAACTTTAAAATATTTTTTCCTTTTAAAATATTCCATTAAGAGGACTTGTAAATTTCATTTTGGAAAGCAGTAATTTTTCTAGTAATCTTCATTTATTTTGAATATCTAAGGAGGTATGATAGAATTTTCTTAGGAGGGAAAATCTGGAAAGAATATTTTACAGTTCATTTGTTTCCTCCGCAAAAGATGTTCCTTTGTATTACCTACACTTATGCTAATTTCCAAACTTATATCATCTGCCACCTCTGCCAGATTTCCTGTTGATCCCCTCAGCTAGGAGATGATTTTTCTCTTAGCTTTAATGATGTTTTCATTTGACTCTCAGTAGTCTTCTATTAATTCTTCCTAGCCATGCTGTATTTCTTCTACTACTTGTAAGCATTCAGAGGGCAATTCATAATTCATTTTTCTATGCTCTATAGTAGGTTAGCAAACTCTGGCCTACAAGATAAATCAAGCCTGGGGATTGAACTCGGGGACACTTGACCATTGAGCCACATCCCCAGCTCTATTTTTGTATTTTATTTAGAGACAGGGTCTCACTGAGTTGCTTAGCACCTCTCCGTTGCTTAGGCTGGCTTTAAACTTGCAATTCTCCTATCTCAGCCTCTGGAACCACTGGGATAACAGGTGTGTACCACTGATCCCAGCTTGTTAACTGTTTTTATAAATAAAATTTTATGGAAACACAGCCATGCCTTTTTAATTTACTTTCTACTTTAGCACTATTGTAGGAGAGTTGTGATAGAGAACATATTGCCCACAAAGCCTAAAATATTCAATATCTCACCCTTTATAGAAAATTAATTGCCTCTCTCTGGGTGTAGTGGTACACACCTGTAATTCCAGCACTAGGAAGCTCAGGCAGAAGAGGCCAGCCTCAGCAACTTGAGACCCTATCTCAAATAAAATCTAAATCACCCCAAGTAATCTCCAAAAACAAAAAAAAACAAAAAAAAAAAAAAAGAGAGAAAGTTCATTGAACCCTGCTGTGTAGTATTTAGAACAGTAACATACATGTACAAAAATAATTCTTGTTGAATAAGTGTATGAATTAATATTTTCTAAAAGTAAAATATATAGTGAAATCACATATCGCTGGAATTTTTCATGTGATCTGCTTTTGTAAGGTGGTATTTAAATCTCAAGAGTAATTTCTAGAATATTGTTTCCCTGTGTAATACCCTAGTATTAAAAATCTATTTGAATTGAGGCTATAATAACAGATCTGCACAATACATTGGAACTAGAAAAAAATGATTGTTTTTTCAAAGCCTCCCTGAACTCATTAATTGATTTTAAAATAAGTGTCATAAATGCAAACTTAATAACTATATATTAATAATAAATCTACTTGAAATATGTTAATTTTAAGAAATGGGGGAGGGGGAAGTATTAGGGTAGGTATGGCATTGATCAAATTGTATTGTTACACTGTATGCATGTACAAATATGTAGCAACAAATCTCATCATTATGTACAACTATAATGCAGCAATAAAAAAGTGGGAAATTCAAAGAAATGGCATTGTTGAAATTTTGAGAAATTATGGATTAATCTTTATTTTCTCTAGCAACTGGTTCTGAGCCTATGTATTGGTCAAGTTTCATGACCAGCAGTATGCAACTGGCAAAAGAATGTCTTAGCCAAAAATTAACAGATGAACAAGGAGAAGGATCCCAGCCTTTTGAAGGGCTTGAAAAATTTGCTGAAACCATCGAAACAGGTTTGACATTATTGATCATCTCTAAAAATTCAAATTTTATTTAGCAATTTAGTACCTTAATAACTTAAGTCTTGGATTAGGCAGCCCTCTTGGAGTGTTTTTTAAAAGAATTAATGTTCTCATTTCAGAACTTTACAATTGGGGTTATTTCATTTAATTGCAAATATTTCCCTAGTCTCTCATTTGTTTGATTTATTACATTTGCAAAATGATGTGATTGGAGTTCAACAGACAGTGTTAGTGACTGTTCTAAGTATACTTAGATATGTAGCTTGGGTACGTGTTCAGTAAGTGTAATATCTATTTTAAAACTCAGAATTTGGGACTTTTAATGGAAAGAAATCTGGCTTTTTTATTTTGTAAGTTGTTATCAAACAAATATTTTTTCTTTTATTAGAACTTTTTATTTAGTAGATATATGGTTCTTCCATTAATGATTAATTGTTTATTCTAGTACTAAGAAGAGTAAAAGTCACTTTTATAGACACTGTTTTGAGAATTGAACATGTGCCAGAAAATTCCAAAACTGGAACAGCCCTTGAAATTCGAATAGAAAGGTAAGAATTTTTAAGAATTTGAAAATAACTGTATTCTAACTCTCACATTACATTTCAAAATGCTGGGCTGGGAATGTGGCTCAGTGGAAGAGAACTCAGTGGAAGAGAACTTATAATCTAGCATGTGTGAGTCCCTTGGTTCAATTCCTAATACTGCAAAAATTAAAAAAATAAATTCAGGATGCTTTTGGAGACTAGAAGTGATGATATTAAATTAAAATACTACATAACATTGGAGGAAAGTGCTGTTCTCCAAGTTATATTCTAATTCCATTATTGAAATTACTATGTTAAATTTAAAGCAAGTAGTTTTCTTTTAGTTATCAAATCAAAGCTACAAGTATTGGAGTGCTACTAAATTTCAGGCTGTCTTGTGAGTTTGCGTTTTTTTTTGTGGAGCAATGCAATATGTAGGTGGGTTTCATTATTGTGAAGGACTGGCTTTGCTGTGCTTAATCTTAATGCTGCTTGATTGAGAGAGGGGGAAGGAAGGCACTGTTTCTTTGGAGAATTCTATAAGCATTAGTTTCAGGCAAATATCTGTAATATTGATTTACTTAAAAAGATATAAACATGTTGCTTTTAATTTTCTGTGTACCCACTTGGTAGCACCCCTATAAAAGCTTGAAAGCAGATTTATTTACATATGTACATCTGAGTGTTGATGTGAAGTCATATCTTCACCAGTGTTGGTGCTGTACACCTTGCTAAGAGAAATGAGCAGGATGAGGTATGTACACCAAGCCCCAAAGACACTTTTTTTTTTGTATTGGGGATTGAACTCTCAGGTAACTTAACCACTGAGCCATATCCCCAGCTCCTTTTATGTTTTATTTAGAGACAGGGCCTCGTTGATTTGCTTGGGGCTTCACTAAGTTGTTGAGGTTGGCTTTGAACTCTATCCGCCTGTCTCAGCCTTCTGAGCCACTGGAATTACAGGTGTGTGCCAAGCCTCCTGGCTCCAAGGACCCTTTGTATATTTATCTATTGGGGTCCTTTTCCAGGGTTTAAAGAGATGTACTATGGTTTCTGTTTTTCTCAAAAATACATCTGTTGTTAAACAATTATTGTTAATGATCTTTGAAAATAGGGGGCATTGCCTTAGATGGCATATTAAAACTGTTTGTAACATCTCATGCATTTGGAACCACATACTTTATCTTATTTAAAATGAAGATTGGTCACACAAGAATTCAAGAAATGTCATTTTCAGACTTGTGACTTGAAGCCAAATGCTGTCTCACTGTTACCAAGAGATAGATATTTTGGGAAGGAGTACAGGAATTGTTTTCCTTGAAGCTAACTTTAGGAAGTTATTAATTTTTTCCTTCAATTTAAGAGTCTTATAAAGTTATTTTTCTTGGAGTTTAAGGTCTCTGGGAAATATTTACTGAAGTGTGATCATTCTGACCTATTTTATAGGCATTATTGTAAGTACATTCTAAGAAATGCTAACACCTGAAAAGTCTCTTTAACTTAAAAGCTCTTCATTTTTTTTATTATTGCAAATAAGTTGTCCCAGGAGTTTTGTTCTAATAATCTTTTTGTTTTTAATTTTTAGAACTGTATACTGCGATGAAACTGCTGATGAATCCTCAGGAATTAATGTACATCAGCCCACAGCTTTTGCTCACAAGTTACTTCAGCTCTCTGGAGTGTCTCTCTTTTGGGATGAGTTTTCTGCATCAGCAAAATCTTCCCCAGTGTGTTCGACTGCACCAGTGGTAAGAGAAACAGAACAATCCTAAACTTGATCATAGATTTCCTCAAAGGTTTAAACGAGGACTGTTAAATTTTTCTAGGATGTATAGTATGGGCTAAGTCTTCATCTGATTTGCAAGTTAACACAAATATTCAATATGGCAATATGTATTTCAGATATTTAAATATACTTGTACTTTTAATTAATGCCCCCCCATACTTTTTTTTTAAGCTAGTTTGTATGTGTTAGTTTGACAGAGAAATGTTGGCAGAATTATTGGGGCAGAATGGCTCATTAGTATATAATCCTTTTACAATATAAACTGGAAATTAAGCAATATTCAAATTTATCTCACAGAATGAACATATTGCTGAAAATTTATCTTACAAATTCTGCCTTTAAAAAAAATCTGTGCAATTAAGGAACTCTGTTATTTTCTTCCAAGAGTACAAAATCTTTATCAGTCATTCCATTATTTACCCTTTACATTATTTCCCAAATTGGGTATTCTTAATTATAGTGTCTGTTAGGTTTCTTACTAAATTGAGCAGATATTATGCTTTCTTCTTGAAGTTCTTTCCATGTTGTGTTTTCATTACTAGCCCAATGTAGTACTGTTTTATTTTAGCTACCAGATATAATTTATCCACTGTAACAATATAGTTTTGCATGCCAAATATTTTATTCTTAAGTTGACATTTATTTTTTGCATTCCAGTTTATTTACACTAAGCTTTTTAAATAGTTCCTTTATTCTTATTGCATTATTTTAGGAAAATGAGCCAAAGCTGTCACCTAGCTGGAACCCCAAAATTGTTTATGAGCCACACCCACAACTAACTAGAAATTTACCAGAGATAGCGCCCTCTGACCCAGTGCAGATTGGTGGATTAATTGGTAGGTTGGAGTTGAGTCTCACATTGAAACAGAATGAAGTACTTCCTGGAGCTAAGGTCAGTGTTTATTTTCTCTAATAAAATTAAAAGTATTCTTTAATCTATACACTGAGCCTCTGGTTGGTTACTGTAGATTACCCTGTAACAAAGGTATCTATCTGTAGTTTTGGAATCAGCATTTTATTCTCACTTGGACCTGGTATTTGGGGTCACAAAATTAAAGTAAGGACTGACTTGGCCTTACTCTTATGCAAGTCAGGTTTTATGAAGAGTTGCCTCCTACACTCACTCTTCCCGTTCTAACAGTCCAAAACCAAAAGCATGGTTTCATTGATTAAGATAACTAAATTTAATTATATAATAGTGTCTTTCTATTGTCATAAAATTAAGATGTTAAAAAGGAAAAGAGATTTGAAAAGCAAGTTGACTGTAGAAATGTCCATCCATATTTTGAATGGAATGACTTTTTATAATTGTGCAATATTTGTGCAATATTTATGAAAAGATATTCACTTATTATTTTTTGTAGCTTTTTGAAGACATTGTATAAAGACACAATGAAAGATACACTAAGGGGTATGGATATTACTACGGGAATATAGAAGAGGGACACACTGAATGCTTGTAAATATACATAGAAAAATTTTCAGTGTATTGAGGAATCCTCAAATCTTTTCTTGGATTGGGATGTTTGACTCATGTTGGAGGAGGAAATCTAGAATTAGAATGAAGACAGTTCTATTTCTGATTATTGTTCTCTTCCTTGTTTACTGACTTGTCCTACCTCAAGATGGTATAAAATTCTTTCACTAGGTTTTCAACTGTCTTCCTGAAATAACATGAGAGGCTCCTCAGGGAGTGGATAATTGTAGGTGTGTGTAAGCCCCATGGGAGCTCCCCTGCTGTGGCAATATCCTTGGGATAACAGCACATCAGTGTCTTTAGGGAATGTATTTATCATTTCTTTAAGAAGGAAAAACTATAACAATAACTTTTACAGTTCAATTTTGATCAAATATATATAATTCTCAATATTTATGTTTTTGATCTTTGTACACACCCAAAGTTTTTAATATTATTTATTGATATGTATAAGTTTTTGTCATATGATACTTTTAGAGTTTGTGTATTAGGTGACAAATGGACACCTGGAAATTTTGTGTGGCAGCATTGTGTACCAGCAAATATTTGGTATTAGATATACTATAATCCTTGTCTCTTTAATAACTTTTGTGTAATAAATTGGGTACGTGAAATACATTTTGTGTTTATTTAATGAAAATGAGTGCTAAATGGGAAAAAAAGAGTTCTGGAAATTAGCATTGAGAAGCATGGATCTTATAACCTTAATACAGAGTAGACAAGGGGTAGCTTTACAAGATGTGCTCAAAGTATTAGGTCTTTAATCTCTTTCCAGTGTTCATTAAACTTAAATTTTTTAACTGTGCATTCAAAATGTTAAGAAAGGTTTCATGGGTTGGGGTTGTGGCTCAGTGTTGGGGCACTTGTCAAGTATTTGTGAGTCACAGGGTTCAATTTAGGTCCATTGACAACTAAAAGAAATTAATCACACACAAAAAAAGGTTTCATGCTATTTTTTTTTTAGTTCTGCAAGAATAGTATACACATAAGTAGTAAGTCTGATATTTCATATTTCCAATCTTAGTGTATGCTTTCAGCAATGCATTATATATGAAAGTAGAGGACTGCCTGGATTGATTCAGAGAGATTTTGTTTTAGCTACTGTGTTACACTGAGTTGAAAAATTTTTTGGTTATTTTATATTTCCAAAAGTAATAAGTACTTTGTCTTTTGTATGCCAAATTCAGAATCTATTTTTTTTTGTTAAAATACCTTTGTTTATTTATTTTTATGTGGTGCTGAGGATCAAACCCAGTGCTTCACATACGTGAGGCAAGCGCTCTACCGCTGAGCCACAACCCCAGCCCCCAGAATCTATTGATAACAAAATATTTTTGCAAAAAGTAGAATCCCAACTCTTGATTATCTATTCTAATAAAGAGCAGAGATTATACTTTCAATGCAAAGAAAATATTAAAAAAACATTAAAGAATTTGGCCTATAATCAGAAGTGTGTTTTGCTACTCTCCCCAGCCTTAATCAAGGGCATGGCTTAGAGTGTCAACAGTCAGTAAGGAGCCCCCTAAAACAGTCTGTGTGTAGCAGGGGTAGTCATGCCATGAAAGGAGAGAGGGTTCTTTATCTGGGTCAGCCTCCATTAAAATCTTGCTCTGCAAGTCACTTAATCTTGTGAACCTGTTTCCTCCTCTGTAAAACAAACAGTAGTAAGTAGAGAAAATATATACAAAGGCACCGATGCTCAAAATAAATGATAATGATAATTATTGTTTTTAAGGAATATATTATATTCTTAGATCATGGAAACTTCTCAGAGTCAATAGTAATTTATTTTTTGTTTGTACAATTAGAAGAAGTTTGTTTTTCTCTTGACAAAAAGCCATTTTCCAAATGTAAATGTGTTTTATTAATTGTATTATTTATCAATTGCAAAATGGTATACAAATACCAGAAGCTATTATTAGCTTATTCAAACTAAGAAGAGATGAATGAAAAATAAGGTGGGATATTTAACTTTTTAGAAGGCTGTGTAGAGAATAGAGTGATTGCTTTTGTTGAGTATTCTCTAGGATCAGGAAGAGTGTGATGGAACTTTTGTTTTCAGAAAGAACAGTGAGCCAAGAATTGGAAGGAGAAAGGAAGGCCATGTAAGCACTGTCTTCTGTTTACATGCCTGCAGTGGCTTCCACTCATGTCCAAGAGAGAATGGACATTGGAACACAGTAGACATCTATCTGAGAGGCACACTGCTTGGTGGCCTTGAGATCTTTTCCTTTAGGTTTGTGTGAATTAGTAGAGAGACTCTTAGGTAAAGGAATTCAAGATTAGCAGTAAATATTTCTCTCAGTGCTTGAAATATACTGAAATTTATGGTGATGAGGTTTTGAAAGAGTATTCATCCTGAATGGTTTGTTTGTTTATTTTTTTAAGTTGGATTTTGATGGACAGATAGACTCTATTCATCTATTCCTGTCACCAAGACAGGTACACTTGCTTTTGGATATGTTAGCAGCTATTGCTGGACCAGGCAAGTATAATTTTGTTGTTATTATTTTTAGTTCTCTGAAACTTTTAAATTGAAATATATAACATACACTTAAGAAAGTTTATTATTTTGAATATATGAAATTAAACATATATTGTAAATTAACGATGTATCATGTCCTAAAGAGTTAATTCGATTGTGTCTTTTTGAATTGTGCCAGCATGGCATATATTTGCATTCAGAATGTGTCACATTCTTGTTTCAAAATTGTTCTGACTGATTTCTTTGGTTGGGATAGTACTTCATACAAAGAAGAAAATGTAATTCTTGAACACAGTAAGTAGCATACATGTTAAAGTATTTTTAGTAACTAATATATACTAGAGGTAAGATTTTTTGATTCCTGGTTTGTTGCCTACAACTGTTATTTAGATTTCTGATTAATATTGAATAGTGGTGTTTTGCACTGCCTTATGGTCTTAAGTTGCCATTGGTATTGGATAAATGGGATTTGGGAGAGAAATGCTTTAAATAACTTAACCTTGAATCTAATTACTGTTCTGCTTTCCTTTTGTATACTTGTAGAAAATTCTAGCAAAATAGGGTTAGCTAATAAAGATAGGAAAAACCGACCTATGCAGCAGGAAGACGAGTATCGAATTCAGATGGAATTAAACCGGTATTATTTGAGAAAAGATTCTCTTTCTGTGGGTGTATCTTCAGAGCAAAGCTTTTATGAGACAGAAACGGCTCGTACACCTTCTAGCCGTGGTAAGCAACTCAGTTGACACCAGAATCAAACTTTATCATCATAGGTAAAATTAAACTTAATTTTGGCTTTTGTGAAACGAGTTTAGCAGTGAAATAACAAAAGACCCATATCATTAAGAAAATTTTAATTTTTAAGTTTATCTAACCATAGTATTAATAGTGATGTGCCAGCACATGGTTGCTATTTTTTTATTTTGGTTTTGTCTTGTAAATGATGTTTTTGAGTAAAGTCAGTTTATAAAAGTGTAGATTTACACAAAAGATAAATTAGGAGTAATTATACATTTTTGTCAAATTATGTGCTCACATAATGATATACAGTAGATTTCTTTAAATAGGGAACTTTATTAATCTTTCCATTAATTATATCTAAGTATCATCATTACCCAGTTTACTTTACATTTACAGGTGTTTTAGAATATATGAGCACTAATACCATAAATAGTAAGAATTAATAAAGTATGGAATGTTGAACCGAATAAAAAATTAAAGCCTTCTTAAATTTTGGCCTTAACTACCTTTATTTGCATAAGGGTACAACAATCTCTAAAAGATGGAAGTGAAACATAAATAGAAGTCTCAATAATATATTTGATTCTTTTCTTTTTAAAAAGGAAATAGCTATATACATATGAAAAGAGAGAAGGCAATATATTTGTACTATTTATTTATGCTGGAGATTGAACCCAGGGTCTTGTGTATGCTAATGACATTTTAACATGTAGTTTTTTTTTTAACTTCTAAATTGTCATATGATGTTTTAAAAATGTACCTTGTAAAATACTGGGTATTAAAAACAACAAAACAAACAAAACAAAGCTTCACAAAACCACTCAATAGGAAAGCATAACCTTTCGTTAACTAATATTCAATTGAGTTTTTGCTGTGCCATTAATAACTTGGATTCAAATACCCCATTGGAAGTAATATACATTTTGGAGTATCACTGTATCTCAGTATTTCAGAAGAAGATTATATTAATGTATATTAGCCCACTTTAAAGTATACAAAGTGGGTAAAATTGTGCTATAAGTGATGAAGTTTAATTCTCTCCAGAAGAAGAAGTTTTCTTCTCCATGGCTGATATGGACATGTCCCATAGTCTCTCTTCTCTTCCACCCCTTGGGGATCCCCCAAATATGGACCTGGAGTTATCACTAACTAGTACATACACTAATACCCCAGCCGGATCTCCATTAAGTGCTACTGTGGTAAAGTATTATTTTATTATTTTATTCTTAAAAAGTTACTTCTAAAATTTTGGACTTTATTCATATTCTTTAAAAAAATATCTTTCATAGCTTCAGCCAACATGGGGAGAGTTCCTTGATCATCATAAAGAACAGCCAGTGAGGGGGTCAGCATTTCCATCCAACCTGGTTCACCAGACATCTTTGCAGAAGGCTGGTGAGTGGAAGAGAGTTAATCTTTGTTTCCACTGGAACTTTTTTTTTAGTTGTAAATAGACACATATCTTTTTATTTATTTATTTATTTTTATGTGGTGCTGAGGATCAAACCCAGGGCCTCAAGTGTGCAAGGCAAGCATTCTACCACTGAGCTACAACCCCAGCCCTCCTGGAACTTTTGAAATATTAAAAATTAAAAAATTCTTTTTAGTCATTCTACTTTATTTTTTTTTT